CAGTTGCAGGCAGTGGTGTACAACTTACCCGGTGCACTTGTTCCTTTCGACGAGGAAGCCAATAATGACATTTTTACACCTCTAGTGGAGAAATTAACCGAGTATTTTTCTCCACAACGGAACTCAGTTTTCGAGAGGCACCTGTTTCGAACTATGGTTCCTGTAGAAAGTGAAGGCTTTACCGAATTTTTAATGCGTTTGCGTCGGCAAGTTGCGAAATGCTCTTTCGACGAAACCAAGAAAGAAATTGAGGAGATTTGTATCAAAGACAAAATCATAGATGTCTGGGCGCCGATGGACTTAAAAAGGAAGCTCTTGGAGAACGAATTCACTTTAAACGAAATTATAAAGATGTGTCACATCGAAGAGCAAGTTAACAGGCAGACGGAAACGATGGGTGCAGCTGGCCAACAAAGCACAATTCAGAGAGCTTCACACCAAAGGACGCGAAACCCTGATACTCTGCAAGACTGTGGACGATGCGGAAGACAGGGACACCGGAAGAACAGCCCAGATTGCCCAGCAAGAAGCGCCACGTGCAGGAAATGCTCCAAGATTGGACACTTTGCACGGAGATGCAAGACAAAAATAAGAGCGGCCAACCACGACGTGGACGGGCCTAGGGCGAATCGCCCACGGCGTACGGACACACACATCAGGCTGGTTAATTGTGAGTCTGTGCACGACGGTGAAAAGTCAGTAAACACTGATTGTTTTCAAGTAGCCACCAAAGGGGATAGTGACGATATTATTCCATGCAAAATCGGCGGCAGGATAATGGAAATGGTTATCGACTCTGGTTCCAAACACAATCTATGCAGTCAAGCAGATTGGCAGAAACTAATCGACGACCAGGCAACCATTTTCAACATCCGCACCAAATCATCGAACCAGTTCCGTTCTTTCTCAAAATATTGAGGGTATTTGAAGTTCCGATTGGTGTAAGAAGGGACCCGGAGGTGATTGCTACGTTTTACTTTATAGAAAATAGCAGACAATCACTACTAGGATGTGATACCGCGATACAACTCAATGTTTTAAAACGAGGGTTAAACATAAATCGAGTTGAGCAGATTGATGCGTTCCCCAAATGGAAAGATGTTCAGATAAGGCTTTCAATTGATCCAACGGTGGTGCCTGTCAAACAACCCATGAGGCGAGTCCCGACGGTGCTGGAGCGCAAGGTAAACACAAAACTAGAAGAAGCCCTAAAATTTGATATTATAGAGCCAGTGACTGGGCCGAGCGCTTGGATATCGCCAATTGTCATCGTATTTAAAGAATGTGGAGATATTCGAATGTGTTTGGACATGCGCAGAGCAAATAAAGCCATAAGAAGGGAGAATTATCCTCTTCCGACGTTGGACTCATTGATGACCAAACTAAAGAACGCTAAAAACTTTTCTCGACTCTATCTAAAGAACGCTTATCACCAACTTGAGCTTGACGATTCGAGCCGTGAGATAACGACATTCATTACACATCGTGGGCTGTTCAGGTATAAGAGGTTGCCATTTGGAGTGAACTCAGCTCCGGAGATTTTCCAGAGGCTGATGGAGGAAATGCTGGCACAGTGCCCAAATGCCATAAACTATATTGATGACGTTATAGTGTTTGGCAATACCCTCGATGAGCACGACACGGCGCTGAGCAAGGTGAAAAATGTTTTTGTGGAACGTAATGTGTTACTCAACGAGGAGAAGTGTGTTTGGCGGACAACTAAACTAAAATTTCTTGGTCATATCCTCTCCGACAAGGGGATTGAGGCGGATCCAGATAAGATTGAGGTTATACAAAACTTTAGAGAACCCAAAAATAAGGAAGAGGTCCGCAGTTTTTTGGGTTTGGTCACGTATGTGGGAAAGTTTATACCCGATTTGGCGGATACGACAGAACCATTGAGAGCATTGATCAAATTAAACGAGAAATTCATATGGGGTGAGGCGCAGAAGTTAGCCTTTAATCAGTTAAAGAAAAAGGTTTCGGTAGTCCCCATGCTGTCCTATTTTACCTTAACGGATCGGACTAATTGATTGCGGACGTTAGTCCAGTAGCCTTAGGTGCGGTATTGGTATCGTATTGTATTATCGTATTATCTCGTTTGCCAGCAAGAGTTTATCAGATGTAGAAAAAAGATAGTCTCAAACAGAAAAGGAAAGTCTCGCGTTAGTCTGGGCGGTAGAAAAGTTTAATTTTTATTTGATCGGATTAGAATTTGACCTAGTAACGGACCACAAGCCTCATGAGGCCATATTTAAGCCCACTTCTAGACCTCCAGCCCGCATCGAAAGGTGGCTCCTACGCCTACAATCGTACAGTTTCCGAGTTGTGTATAAGCCAACATCGCAGACTCAATGTCGAGACTGTCCCAGGAAACCGAGTCAAACTAATTCGATTGGCAGGGGGAGTAAAACATATTTCATATCGTCTCAAATTCAATACCAGTTTCGTTATCAATCTCAGAGATAGCTGAAAGTAGTACTCATGATGAGGAAATAATAGATGCAATGACGTGCCTAAAGGAGGATTCGTAGAAGCTAGCTACATCGAGTCCATTCTATCCGTTTCGATTTGAAGTATCTACGCTCGGTAATATTCTGCTAAGAGGAACAAAGCTAGTGATTCCGAAAGATCTGCGACGGAAAGTGTTGGAGTTAGCACATGAGGGTCACCCAGGCGAGAATGCAATGAAGCGGCGACTCCGCTCAAAAGTATGGTGGCCACGAATGGATAGAGAGGCTGAAGAATTCGTAAAAACCTGTCGTAGCTGCATTTTGGTGTCTGCTCCGGTACGTCCGGCCCCAATGAAGAGGCACTCGTTTCCAAATGGCCCATGGATGTGTTTGACAACCGATCTGTTAGGCCCGCTACCAAACGGAGAATACATTTTGGTACTAATCGATTATTACTCTCGATATATGGAGTACAAAATAACGAGGAGCATCACATCAAGGGTTATAATAACCGAGATGGAGAATGTTTTCGCAAGGCTAGGTTTTCCCCATACATTAACAGCAGACAACGGTCGACAGTTCATAAGCGCGGAATTCAAAGAATGTTGTACAACAAACGGGATCGAGTTGCGTACAACTCCTCCATATTGGCCACAAACGTACGGAGAGGTGGAGAATATGAATAAATCACTCGTTAAACGTCTCAAAATCGCATATGCGAGCAGAAGTAACAACAAGAATGAGTTGCAAAAATTCGTTCTAATGTATAATGTAACACCACTTAGTACAACGGGTGCAACTCCAACGCAGCTGATGTACAATCGGACGATACGAGATAAAATTCCCGGAATTCAGGATATTTCGGATCATGGTGTGGACTTGGAGGAAAGAGATAGGGATATGTACCAGAAAGAAAAAGGGAAGAAGATAACAGATGCAGCTCGAAGAGCAGGAGATATTGAATTAACTGTAGGTGACAGGGTTCTAATTAAAAATGTTATTTTTCCCCACAAACTAACACCAACTTTCGATCCAACGGTTTACAAGGTGACCAGCAGAGTCGGGGATGTGGCTCAGGTAACCGGAAATAAAAAGTCATATTCAAGGAACGTCAGTCATCTCAAGAAAGTCGAATCCTCTGCTGCAGTTCAGTCGGAGGAGGGCCAATCCCCGAAAAGGACTGATTAATCATCCTCAGCCAAACAAATTGATGCGGAGCCCACCTCACAGATGCCACAGGAAGGACTAAAACTGCGTCTGAAAAAAAAGGAGAGATGTGGGAACCTGTACCAGGGTTTCGGAATTCGAGCCCAACAAGGGAACCATAAATTCACCACGACGCAATGTGGATTGCATCGTATGTTGAGTTCAAGGAGGAGTCGAAGATAGGCAACGAGAGCGAGCGGTCAACGACTGAACAAATAAATATATTAAACCGAAAAGCACGCGTTATTACTGGAGTGTTACATCATATAACATTAGATCATATATACATCATATGAATAATTTTGGAGAATATAATGTACATAATATTCTGCAAGGGTATATCAACTTCGGCGCCGCCCGAAGTTAGCTTTCCTTTCTTGTTTTTAGGGTTAATTTTGGTATGAGTGCAGTAGAATTCATGAGTAGGAATCTACCCAGTGTGAGGAGAAATACAGCGCGTATGACCAATAGTTTTGTCAGCTTTATATTCCGTTAAAAAGTGGTGTATGCCTTTTATAAACCAATTTTACAATCGTGACCGATGAAGGAATTTGCAATGAACATGAAAAACAAGATGTCCAACTAAGAGTCGCCCGTCGGTCTATGGAGTTTTAGGTTTCCGTTCAACACAGAGGAGGTGCTTAGATTAAACATGTAGATACGCTCAGCCCCCAAACTGCATTCTTATCGAAGATTCCGCAAAATATCGACTAAGAGAAGCTCAGAACTGGGACGATTGGATTAAAGCAGTTAAAAAATTACTTTTCGTTAAAGCAACATACTCCACAATGATGTTGCGAAAGAGCTTTTAGTCTTTCCAGAATCAATGCAAGAGGACATAACCAGAATAGCACATCTCGAAGGCAACTGTGGAGCAAAGATGGAAAGGTCAGTCAAGAGTAAAGCAGAATGACGTCAATTGACAAAATCCAAAAATCACAGGGTACATACCACATTGATCACGTGGCTCCCAGACAATAATTGTTCAGCTGTTGTAGGAGGGTTTTATAAGGCTTTTTTCTCCCGATGCCAAGCAAACTTTGCCAGAATTACCAGGCAAACTCGTATTGCCAACAAATTATTTATGACACACCACCTAAAACGACGAATTATTCCTACATACATTTACTATAATAAATAATTTTTTGAATGTAAAGACCAGCCGCATTTGGCTTACAGTCAATAGCAATTTTCAAATATAAATTTTTCTGCAAGAACTCGCGACACGACATGGAAGCCTTCAAATAAGGGCTAGCTTACTGATTAGTGCTTTTAGAATATGAAATATTACCTTTTTATTGGAATACAACAGAAGAGTGAGATTTTATTTGGCATACTGACCCATTAAGTCTACCCAGCCAAAGACAAGGCTTGTGCGATAGACCATGATGGTCTCAAAGCGGTAATGAACATCCAAATCCACATATGAGGAATTAGCATAAACGTCCGGCGGCAGAAATGCGGGGCGGACATCGCTGATGTAGTTAAGCGAGTAGCAGTTGCGAAAGCATTTACAGGACATGCCCTCGAAGTTGTTGCGCACAAAGTCCTTCTCGCCAGGCTGGTGCGAGTAAAGAAGCAGGTCTGGTTGTATATAGATATGTGATAATGATTAGTATAGGGCCTTTGCTGGAAATGTTCGGGCTCTACTAACCATTGTGCTCCGCCAAGCAGAGCAAATCCTGCGCCCGGCACGACCGATATTGGCCTGGCCAAAATATCAATTATTCAATAAGCTAAAGTTGTTGGCCAATTTTGCTTACCCGGTGGAAAAAGTAAGTCCATTGTGCAATTACAGTAGCGCACCAAGTACTCCTGGTGGCACTCCGAAAGGCAATTCTCAATCATGTATACGTAGCCTTGCAGGGACTTGAAATCCCTACTGTTGTGCTCATCCTTTGGGCATTCAAAGTGCGGAAATAACTGCATGTTAGGGATTGACGTGAATCAAGTTACAGTTGGTTTTAACTCACATCGAACACACACTGTCGCTGGTCGGAGCGAACACCTCGCGTGTCATTATCATAGAAGTAGATGATCGGTTCAATCTCTAGGGTAGTTTCCGTGTTCGAGGGAATGTAAAATGGATTGTTGTGCCACACGAAGGGTTCGGTTACCATAACGTCGATGCCCTTTAATTCAGCCTTTTTGTTGTTTCCCGGCCAGTGCTTAGAGGGCTGGATAAGGACCCTTACGGAGAGAGCGCTCATGGGACCTGCCGATCCTGTGCGCCAAGGCCACATGGGATCGAGTAGCTGCATCCTCCTGCCTTCGTCGGTTTCTAGGGAGTTGAATGCCCAGCACAGTCCGTTCTTGCTGCGCCGCTTCGAGAAGATGTCGCAACAGTTGTAGGCGTAGTGCCGCCACTGGCAGTCTGAGAGCAATTCATCGCAGCGCCAGGTCATAAAGTCCACCACCTGACTAAAATTGATGTAGTTCAGCAGCTCTGTCGGCTGGTTGCGCAACCGTTCGAAGGACTGGAAGTGGCCAAAATAGGCATCGTCGTAGCTGCCCACGATGTGCTCGAAGAGGGACAGTTGGGCAGAGTCGCTGATGTTTGACATGAATCTTGACTTTGCCTGAGCCAAGCGCTGCCAGTTGAGGCGGTTGCGGTTGCAGATCGTAATCACCGGAAAAGGTATGCGGTACACCGGGTACCGAGTGCTGTCTACCACCGTCTGAAAGTGGGCGGCGTTGTAGCGGGCCGAGAGTATCAGGCACACGTAAACCGCTCCCAAGAACGCACTTACAAAGGTGCACAGCCAGACAAAGCGCTCCCACTTACTTGCCCGGGCACTGAGGAGCCTATCCAGGCCATGTATGGTAGTTCGTTTGCCGAATCGCAAGGCCAACTGCCAAGCGGACTGAGCAAAGCGATGGCTGTGGCTTTGGCGGGGAAAAGTGAGACAGCGTCATGTCTGTATCTGAGCCACTGAGTCTGGTCAAGGAGCACGCCAGGTTTTTATACCATTTCGAGCTGGTGCGTGCTGAAATGCAGCGCTAATTGGGTGCTATTTAACGCCTTGTCGTGCCACAAAACGCCGTTGACGTGCAGCCCATTATTAGCCCGATGGCTAAGCAAACTGTCACCAAAAGGTCAAATAAATCGATTGCTTATTCCCATACGATTTAACCTGATTTGCAGCTAATGGCCACCTTAGGGGGATTCCCATCCAGAAGCCTTCATTTGAAAAATTAAAAAAAAACCAAACTTCCAGAATTCAAAAAGATTCTAAAAACATAAAATTTAAGGAGGCGCATAAAATATAAAATATTTAATTTTTGTAAAGCTGCAGAGGCCTGCTGAAGCTTTGACTTTAAAGTCAAACCTTTTTTAAGCTAAACTAAACTTTTAAGCTAACTATATAATTTCTCGATTCTGAAAGATGTTCATTTCAAAACGTGGTTTTGCAAGTAGTAGTGCAAGTTTTAGGGGTATGGTTCTGAACGTCCTCATATATCTCGAGGACTACATAAAATATAAAAATGTTATTAATTCCAAATAATATCAATATTATAGGATAAGAACAAAATCGAACATTTTTCGGGCTGAACGGGTCTGAACTCTATGTTAAGGTGTAAAGCTAATTAGCATTAAATTCAATTGAATGCCATTAATCGCAATTGATTTGCACACAGTGATTAAAAATGACCCACAATCCAATGTGAAGGGAGTAGGTTGTGGGTATGGGGCGTGTGAACCCTGCGCCCAAACAAAAAAGCAAGCCTACGTGTTTATACCCTTGCAGCTAAATCAAAAATTTAATAGTCTATACAAAAAAAAACCTTATTTGAGACTGTTTTAAATGTTACATTTTGAATATGTAATTAATAATATATTAAAAATAAGTTTTCTTTTAATAGGAAAATTTTCGACTTGAAAAATTATTTAAGGGTTTGCTTTTTTAAAATGGCTAATCATCTCAGCCGATGCTAAAAATAGTTTGTTTAACCAGCGACCTAATAACTAGTTTAACCCGCAGCCCAGTCAATGTTATTTTGTTATTTTTATACCCTTGCAGAGGGTGTTATAATTTCAGTCAAAAGTTTGCAACGCAGTGAAGATGACATTTCCGGCCCTATAAAGTATATATATTCTTGATCAGCATCACTAGAAGAGTCGATATAGCCATGCCCGTCTTTGCGTCTGTCTGTCCGTCCGTCTGTCCGTTTCTACGCAAACTAGTATCTTATAGAAAGTTGTCTTTCTATTGCAGGTAGTATATATATAAGTATAGTAACTATATATTATATCAGAGTTACGCTTTATTTTTATCAAAATCCCACAACAATATAAAATAGCTCCCAAAGAAACGATGGCAAAATGCAGCCCAAAATCGACATTGTAATGTTTATAGTAATACAGGTATAGAAATCGAAATGTAGTCGTTTTGTAATAACTACAAGGGTATATAAACTTCGGCTTGCCGAAGTTTGCTTCATTTCTTGTTTATTATTAAATTTACATTTTATAAAAACAAAAATTAAGATTTTTTAAATGTTTACTAATTTTAGCTTTTTTATGGAGAGTCAAAAAGTAATGTGTAGCGTTTAAAAACAAATATTGTACTTCTTTAAAAGTAAAGAGATAAAAGAACGATTTTATTAGATCCCAAAAACTATAAAAGATAGCCAAGGAATATAAAAATTAATTAAATTAAAAATTTGTAGTGTTTACAATTTTTGTATGCAATACCAATAAGATTACGTTGTTTACAATGCAGATCCAAAAGCGAATATTACAGCCTTATTATTATTAAAATATATATAATATTGTTTTCTGGAATTGGCTCTTTTCAATAACTCTTAAGTTAAGAGTCTTAACTAATAAATTCTTGTATAAACAACTTTTTTTCAAAAAAAATAATTGCTACGAAATTTGTTCTTTAAGCCTAGTATCCAGATCGACAAACGATTACGCTAGCGTAAAAACTTTAATCTTTCCAGTGTGACCAAAAGTTTGAGAGTTCATCAGATTTAAGCGTGCTATGGTCGTACTGTCAATCAGCTGGGCTTGTTGACAAGCAGTTAAAATTCAAACATCGTATTTGCGGGAAAAAGCCTTTAAAAGATATTATCAACTACCTTGGCAAAACAAGTCTTCCGCTGTACAAAGAAATTAAAAAACAATACAATTTAAATTTAACAGTTGTTTTTTTTAATGTACTGATAATTATTTGCTAATTTAAAGTTCATAGCTGCACTTTTATTGTGTTTTTTCGTACATTCTGGACCTAAAAAACATTTTGCTCTGACAAGAGGCACCCCAGATAGTATTAATGTTATTTTGTCCTCACATATAAACACCTGCAATCGACTTTTGCGAGTTTTTTGAGTTTTTCCCTCCATTTCTTATAATGTTCAGTGAGAAGCGCACGCCAAAAGATTAAATTTTTTAATCTTTTCGCTAGGGTTCACGTTTCCGCAGACTGGCAACGCTATGGAATTTTCTGGTATTTTTTTCGTCGATCAGGAGACTGACGTGAAAAAAAGGCCCGACGAAAAGTGAACGCCAGCTGTTTGCCTCTCGCTCTCTCTCATGACTGGCGTACGGTTTACGTCGAAGTGGATACTAGGCTTTAAACGTAAACAAACCCAATGTTTTGAACACCTGAAAAAGTTTTTTTATATATGTAAATAAGAACATATTATTCTCCTAGCAGCAAGGGTATGTAAATTTCGACTCGCCCAAGTAAGCTTCCGTCCGATTCTTACAAATATCCATAGATTTTTAATGTCGACTTAATGTAAGTTAGATGGCTGCAATCAATGATAGGTTCGGATTGGTCCGCTTTAGTGACTCTTTATTTACAAACACCAAAAAAAAATGTGAGTCGCAAACTAATAAGTGTGGCTTAAAATGCCAATATACCTACAATAAATGTTCTGGTCACACCGGGATACTGAGTGAGTGTCAATAATCAACAAAATTGTGACAATAATTTAATTTGTAATTATAATCAATTTCAGAATCACAATATATGTAAATATATACATGTAAATGTATAATCTGCCAGGAAAGATCAAAAAATGTATGGTCAGTGCTATGCGTACTGTTTTTAATATTATATATTTTTAATACTTAAATATTTTTTTTTTGACACTTTGGTTTGCCAAAATTGTTCATTTCAGTTCAAACAGTTCAAATTTAAAATAAAATATATTTTAGATCAGATAAAAAAGTCCTCAAACAAGAATAACAGAATATATTCCGTACACGTTATTAAATAAATATTCAATAAAATAATGTTATATTGAAAATATCCAAGGAACGCTTGTTATTTACAGCGTTGATAGTTTAGAAAGATGTCTCTAAGATAATCATCTCTTTAAAACTATTAAAACAATTTATGTCGAAACAGAGGCATACTAATGCCGATTTTTTTTTTGTGTATGTCCAAAACCCTTAAAGATTTGAAACTCTTCAAGCATGGCTATAAAAGCATTGCCCCACCTATATATGACTAATCGACAAAATGTTTTCCCGTCCAATTGGTAAAGTCAAGCTAGTTGTGCCAGTTGGTGCACGACGGCAAAGTCCAGAAGCTTTAACGGGAAGTAATTTAAAATCGAACAACGAAACTCATTGGACTGTCCTGCTCGATTTCTACATATCCAGATCGCACATACACGGATTGTATTTACTCTTTTTACCGACAATGCGGCGACGTATGCGGTGAGAGTTTCTAATAAAGACAGTGTTCTGAATAATTTAATTCTTTTTGATAGGATTCTGTGGTTCATAGCTTTGATATGCGCGTGCAGTGTTCTCCTATACGTTAGCTATTTGTTGGGGGAGCGATACGAAAATAAACATTTCAAGACAATTGTCGCCCATTCGCATGCCTCCATTCATCGTATCTCCTTTCCAGTGGTCATCATCTGTAACAAGAACCGACTAAACTGGTCTCGGCTACCTGAAATTAGAAGGAAATATAAAATTACAGCGGACCACGATCGACTTTTTGATCGTATTCTTACCGCCTACGATGGGTTAAGTTTTCAGAAATTCAACGTATTCGATTCCTTGCAAGGTGAGCCCTTGGAAGATCTCAATCACCTGAATTTCACGCAAATTGTTACTGAGATGTCCTGGAGATGTGATGAAATCCTAGGTGATTGTGTCTGGCAGACAGTGCCTCGGAATTGCTGCAAGCTTTTTCGACACCGACGCCTGCCCCTTGGGTATTGTCTGGGTTTCAATGAGCTAGAGCAGCGTCGTGGCACAGAGACTGGCATTAACACGGGGCTGCTTCTTAGACTACTACTTCAAGAAGCACATCATGCTCCGGGTAATCCAGCATCAAAAGGCTTCTTGGTGGGTATCCCCGCATGGCCAAACTGATATGTTTTTATACCCTTGCAGAGCGTATTATAATTACAGATCTATTCATGTCCGTCTGTCCGCCCGTCCGCAAACGCAAACTAGTCCCTCAGCTTTAAAGCTATCTGTTTGAAACTTTCCCAAAAGTTGTCTTTCTATTGCAGGTAGTATATAAGTCGGAAGAAACCGCGTCGGATGACTATATCATATATTAATAGGAAAAAAATGAAAACAATGAATGAAGCAAACTTCGGCAATCCGAAAATTATATACCCTTGCAGTTATTAAAAAACTATAACATTTCCATCTATTCCTATATTACTAAAAACAATGAAGCTATGTCGATTTTGCTCTGCATTTTCCTATCGTTTCTATGACAGCTATATGATATTGTTGTCCGATTTTGACAAAACGAAAAGCGTAATTCTGATATAGTAAATAGTTACTATATGTTTTGATAAATAGAAAAACAGCAAAATAAAATGTTTTTAAATTTGTATTATACCCATGCAGAGGGTATTATATTTTCAGACAAAAGTTTGCAACGCAAACCCCATAAAGTATATATCTTTTTGATCAGCATCATCAGGAGAGTCGATCTAGCCATGTCAGTCTGTCCGTTTCTACGCAAATTAGTCCCTCAGTTTTTAAGCTATCTGCTTAAAACTTTCCCAAAAGTTGTCTTTCTATTGCAGGTAGTATATAAGTCTGATCGATCCGGATCGGGCGACTATATCATGTAGCTCCCATAGAAACAAAATTATTAAAAGTATAACTTTGTTGTTTATAATTTTTTTTTTGATCTTTGGGATTCGGTAATATTTAAATACTATTAAATTAAAATCGGACATTAATATCATATAGCTCCCATTAGAACAATCAAAAAATTAAATCGAAATTTAGTCGATTTGTAATAACTGCAAGGGTATATAAACTTCGGCTTGGCGAAGTTTGCTTCCTTTATTAATGGTTAAAATATACTCAAATAAGAAAGAAAGCTTACTTTGGAAAGTCGAAAGTTATATACCCTAGCAGCCAAGAATTATTATTGAATAGCTATATAGAGCGAAATTATGACAGTTTTCTGGTGTATTTTTTGGTATTTCATTACATATTTGTATACAAATGTCCATATATGGACCGATCCATAAAATCAAGAAAATTATTTCTTGAATTTATAAAGCTTTTCTGAACGTTTAATTTTATTGGTAAAAATAAAGTAAGCTTTTTTTTATTTATTACTTGTATATATTTTCAATTTACACTTCAATTTATATTAAAACGAGGACGGAAGCTAACTTCGGCAAGCCGAAGTTTTAATACCCTTGCAGACTTTGACGAAAGTTACACACTGCGCGAAATATTCTGAAAAACATCAAATTTGGACCGATTTCAACCTATTGCTCCAATGGGAGCTATATAGAGCTATAGGATATAGACGTCCGATCGGCCCGCGCTTTTACCCTGATCAAGGTATGCATAAAAAATACGATTTGGAAAGATTCATGTCAATAGGGAGCCATGGGAGCTATAGGATATAGACGTCCGATTTAAGGACGACTGTGAAAGTTTCAGATCGCTAGCTTTTAAACTGAGCTCGCAAACGGTATTGAAACAGACGGACAGACGGACATGGCTATATCGACTCCCCTATTGACCCTGATCAAGAAAATATATACATTATGGGGTCGGAAACGTTTTCTTCACTGCGTTACAAACTTCTGACCAAAATTATATCATCCTCTGCAAGGGTATACAAAACTTTTATATGAACAAATAAATTACATTTGGAAATTTTGCTCTTCCCTCGATCTCGATCGCTAGAGAAACTCCCGATCCACTAAATCATTCCTACCCATTATAAAGAGAAGACTAAAACAAAGAAGCCTTCTCGGCAAATGGGCTGACATACCAACTTTTTTCATTTATATAACTGTTTTGAAAGATAACAAAGTATTTGATGGAGATAAAAATCTAGGGTGAATTTTTTTAATGATCCCATAAAATTTTATTATTGCTCAGGTCGAACGATTCTGGTTTTAAACAAGGAGGCTGTGATGATTTTAAAAGTAATATTATGATCATTATTTGGCAGTTACATATTATAGTTGTGCAACTTATCTCACGTTTTATGCATATTCGTTTATAAATAAAAAATAATTTTCGGTTAATATTTTGATCTATCCTTTGGAAGATATGTGATTTAGTCGTTGGATTTCATTTCCGATGTACATTTTACCTGCAAAAGACGAACAAATTTTCATCCAGAGAGAGATAAAATTGAGACGGTCGAAAATGTGTCCTTTACTGCGTTGCAAGCCTCTGACTTAAATGAAAATACTGTCTATGAGGGTATACTAATTAGGAAAAGTGCTCACAGATAATTAAAGTTGCCTGTGGTGTTAATCACATTTCACAGCTGACTGTAGTGGAATCCTCGGTGTGGTTCGGGTTCCCAATCGAGGTGGTGCCTCATTCCCGCACTAACGTGGCTGTCACAGCGGTATATCACTACTTCGACGAGAGCACATTGAGCATGCCGTCGCGGTGACGGCGGTGTGTTATGGACTATGAACAGGACAGCGAGCACTTTCAGACCCTGGAAGGCCAGAAGTACATGTTGGAGAACTGTCAGGCCCAGTGCCAGCAGCGGTACCTGCTACGATACTGCAACTGCTCCCTGGACTTGTTTTATCCGCCATCTGACTACGCCGCCTGTCGGCTAAAGGACCTGCCCTGTCTGGCATCCCACAACCGTCTGTTGCAGAACTTCGAGCAGCCTGGAGAGCATCCTTACGTGCACAGGGAGGAGTCCGGCCTAGTCTGCGAGTGCCTACACAATTGCAAGTCCCTGACCCTGATGACTGATATGCGCAAGAGCGTCCAACAGCCCTGGTTGCAACCCAACTCAAACATAAGCGAAAGCATGCTGCTCAACGTGTACTTCAAGAAACCTTCCATGCTGGTGTACAAGACAAACTTAATTTACACCTGGGTGGACTTGATTGGTATGTGAAGAACCATGTTCTTTCTTAAAATTGTCCGAAGTGATAAAGTACTTTCCCCTTTCACATTTCAGTGTCTTTTGGAGGCATTTGTCAACTTTGTTTGGGTTGTTCTATAATTAGCCTCATCGAGTTTTTGTTCTTTGCGCTATTTAAAGTACCACAACTATATTGGAAGTGTTTAATAATACAAAATAAATAAAAAATGTTCAAAAAAGTAATACCGTTTCTGGAAATATATATTTAGAAAGGCCGTTGTCTATCAAGAAATACGAGTACTCTTAACAACAAAAACACCTCTAAAACGAGGTCGATCTCCTGTACACCTGATTATTTACTCTAATCTATTGTGTTTCAAACACATAGCTTGGGCAAGCAGCAGTGAAAAAGTAAGTTAATGTAAAGTAAAACAAGAAAGGAAGCAAACTTCGGCAAGCCGATGTTTATATACCCTTGCAGTTATTACAAAACTATAACATTTCGATTTCTATGCCTATATTACTAATAACAATGAAGCTATGTCGATTTTGCTCTATATTTTCCCATCGTTTCTATGACAGCTATATGATATTATTGTCCGATTTTGACAAAACGAAAAGCGTAATTCTGATACAGTAAATAATTACTATATCTCAAAGAAATGTTTTGATAAATAGAAAAAAAGTAAAATCAATTTATTTTTCCTTTTTAATTTTTTTTCAATTTTTTGAGTAATTTTGTACCGACTCAAAACGGTCAATGTGCACTTGATAATGTGGACTCCAAATTGACGAACAATATTCCAAAATAGGACGGACAAGGGAGGTAAATAATAATTTGGTCGTATAAGGCTCATCAAATTCTTTTGACCAACGCTTTATAAACCCATGAACACTCATGGCTTTGTTAACAGTGGACATTATGTGGCAGTCAAATTTAAGTTTAGGGTCCAGAAGAACACCTAAATCGTTAACTGAATATATACGGTCGAGTGGCGTATTTTTAAGAAAGTATCTGATAAACAAAGGAGCACCCCTATAAAAAGTCATAATGTTGCATTTAAGGCAGTTCAAATTTCAAAGGTTGTACTCACACCATCCATGAAAACAATCAATATCTGAATGTAATTTAAATCCCGACGCTATATCATTAAATGATAAACAAAGCTTAACATCATCAGCATACATTAGTACACGAGAATGTGTTATGATAAAGGGAAGATCGTTAATAAACAAAGTAAACAGCAAAGGGCCCAAATAATATAAAAAAAAATCAAATTTTGTGTAATTATACATAAAAAACAACTTTTAACAAAAACTTTTACCCTGATCCAGGTATACATAAATAAATTAGATTTGCGTAGTTTCATGTCAATAGCTTTTATACTGCAAAAATGTCATATAAAAATAGAAAAAAGGGATATTTTCGCAGCCCTTAACAATTTTTCCTACTGAAGCTATAAGATATAGACGTCCGATCGGCAAGAGCTTTTACCCTGAGCAAGGTATGCGTAAACAAATAAGACTTGGAACAATTTATGTTTCACTGCGCGAAATATTCTAGAACATCAAATTTGGACCGATTTCATCCTATTGTTCCTATGGGAGCTATAGGATATAGACGTCCGACCGGCACGCGAATTACGTCTGTGGTCCGGAGGTGTCTGGTCACAGTGATATAGATATAGGTGCTTATTTGATATTCCAATGAAATAAAGACAAAGATAAACTTCTCTGTTCGAGTGTCACTCTTAGACTGACTTTATTCTGTTCTGAGTATACAAATGAGAGCTAACTTGGGAGTGGGGTACATATGTTGAGATTGCGAAACTCCTTAGGTCAGCAGTTCCCGGGCGGATGCCTGTGGCCCAGTTGCTTACTCGGTTCGGTATCCCGTCTGCTGTGTCGGCGGTTTGGTGTCCGGGTTGAATTGCATCTCCGCTAGTGGGACAATGCCCGAAGGGGTTTAGGTGGAGGTGATGTCATGAGGAAAAAATCAGCGGTAACTCCTCCCCCCTTAGCATGGAACCATGGCCATAACGAAGGTATGGTGGGAGTGACAATGGGGTCCGCCGGAGTGGGCGGAGATAAAACAATTATCGTATTTTATAAGCATGGAACCGTTGAAGATCCTGCTCAAAATGCAGTTGGAAGTGATGTTCAGATTCTCCACTTTGAGGATCACCAACAACCCTTTTAAAGGAACGAAGATCTGTGGTTGGTGGCCTCTGTTCGTTGTGCTGCAGGTCGTTTCTTTATCGTCCAGCAGGTTGTAAAGGCATTCTGTATTATTGGGTGTCAGAGGAGTCTCGCAAATGTGTGTACTTCCCACTTTTATACAAGGTGTCTCAATTATCTTAATTTCTAGGTCGTTCTTAATTATAACATTGGGTAAGTTTACATAGTTTTGTTTAGTGGTAGTGAAATAAGACGGTACAAATTATAAGATTCTTTTGACAAAATTGGAACTTTGATATGGAATATGAGTGTTTAATTAAGGGTGATTGATTCTAAAGAAAGCACATTGTATAGTTCGTGTTTTAGCTGTACTTCTATTTTTTGTTCCGATAGTACATTTTTAATTTTTTCAAATTGGACCGAAGTTAATAGGTATTTTGGGAATAACTTTAATTTAGCAAATAGCAAGCTTTCCGCAATATTGTTTAAGTGATTGAAGAATAAGTCTATATTGAAGTTAATCCTATCTGTATATTGGATGAGTTGGATGAGTTGGATGTTCTCATGTTCTTCATCTATTTCTTTAAAAATTTTATTTTGATACGAGTTTATAATGTTGCTTATAAGTACCTGTTCACTGTTAATATGTTCATTTATCTCCTCGAATCTTACAAGCGTTTCGTTCTGGAAATTAGTGTTAAATTCGGAATTTCCGCGTAAGAGACTTAGTTCCTTGTTTATTCTTGCCTCGTCATAGGCGTCCATATTCCCCGAGACTACTTTCACTATATGGCCTAATCCATTAATTAATCCTCTTTTTGGCCTACTTCTTCCATTGTTAGGAAGCAAGGAATTTAATCTTTGTTGAACCTGAGCTAATTTTTGGTATAATGTATGTTGCAGCTCTTCAAGGCCCTGTTGGTCGGGTAAGTTTCCTATCACCTCGTGTATTTTAGTTACTGAGTCTTCATATATGCTCAGGTGAATGACGAGATTAAAAATTTTAAAGGACTTCACCACTCTCGCCGTTCCCAAGTTGATTTTTATAAGGGATTGATCATTGTCCAGGATTTCACTAACGAACCGTTGAGTAGTTCCCAGGGTCAATCTGTAAAATTATATTGTGAGTAAAGTGTCCAAGTCTCGAAAGTAGGTTTATGAGTTAACTGTTTGTAATGTGGCTTTCCTAATTTTTTGTTTGTGCAGTTTTTGTTTTCTTATAGTCCGTAATGTTACCCCGCTATCTAGCAAAACCTTGTGTTTACTAAACCGAGGTGTTATTTTATTTCTCCTATTTTCCTTGCGGAGGATAGAAATACCAACCGGTAAGTCAGAAGGGTCTGTCCTGTTTTCATTTAGGCGGTCTGTTCGTTTTTTGTAGCATCCTCCATGTGCCTGTTTAGGTCGGGATATAAGGTAGTTTGGAATTCGTTTAGTATTAGTAAATAATCGTGCTCATTGTCGAACTTAACTGTTTTGTCGAAAATATGTGTGCGACCACTAAAAAGTTCAAAGGGGGTTAAATTTGTACTAGAGTGGATCGCATTGTTGTAAGTTATTATTGTTTCGGAAAGTATCTCGTCATGCTCTAGGGTTAATTTTAATTCCTTCCTCTTACTCAGAATTATCCAATAGATTTCAGTAAGGTTGAATGTAGTCGTTCCACTGTCGAGTTACTACTTGATTGTTGGAAGCTCTATTTTGTATTGTGCCAAAAAGTCCTTAAAAACGGCTTCAGAGAACTCGGCTCCCTGGTCAAGTATTAACTTTTTGGGGATTCCAAATTGGCAAAAGAAAGTCTTGAAAGCTTTAGTAACAAGTATGGAGTTTCTATTGGTGAGTGGGTAGGCTTGAGCGAATTTAGAGAATTGGTCGATAATTGTTAAGTTATAATTATTATTAAAAGTATATATGTCTGTGTGCAATATATCCAGTGGCCTATTTGGTATTTCTGGCAGTACAAATGGTGGTTTCTGTGGGCACCTATCGTACTTAAGAGTGAGGCATATTTCGCAATCCCGAATATTCTGGGAGATTAAAGACTTTAATTGGGGTACATAGATTTCCCTTTTTAGATGCTGGTACATCTCTTCCACCCCTCTATGATTGTTGTTAGAGTGGTGGGTTCTTATCAAGTTGTTAATTTCCTCAGGGTCAACAGGTTCGTGTAGAGCAATAAGACACCTGTAAACCTTATACAGTTGAGAGTCCGCAAAATATTTTGAGTAAGCTTCTTGTATTACTTCGAAAATTTCGTCGGACGAGTGAACGGCTAAGGTTTTGTTGGGTATTAAAATGGGTTTCAAAATATCTGTGATTTTTTGTAAGGTAAAAGAAGGTTCCGTTATGTGTGTCCGTTTTTTATTTTTGAATGGTGTGCTTACCGCGACCGAGGAGGTCTGTCCGATTTCAAATATAACCTGCATGTTAAATGTGTTAAGTACCTTCTTAGCTAACGAAATTCCGGCTAAAATATGTGAGTCAACGTCATTGATAAGTGTGTTTGGTTCGATTCTACTTAAAGCATCCGCAATGACGTTTTGTGAGCCTTTTTTGTAGACGATATCGTAGTCATACTCGGAACATGTTAGTTTCCATCGGAGGAGTTTCGGGTTTTGGCCCTTGAAATTTTGCAACCAAACTAAGGGTTTATGATCGGTAATGATCTTGAACTTGTTGCCATTCACATATGGCCGAAAGTACTTAACTGCCCAGATTATGGCCAGCATCTCTTTCTCTATTGTCTGCCTCGTTCAAGGTTCTACTCGCGAAACAAATTGGTCTGTCGGACCCGTCGGGGTCCTGAGAAAGAACGGCTCCAATGGCGAAGTTACTGGCGTCTGTGGTAAGGGTAAATGGTTTGTGGAAGTCTGGGTGTTGTAAAATCGGGTTGTTCGTTAGGAGGGTTTTGCAAATTTCAAATGCCTCTATAAATTCTGCATCTATAACGACGGATTTGCCACCCTTAAGTTGTCGGGAAATAGGTTTCGTAATTCTAGCAAATTCTTTTATAAATTTCCTATAATAGCCCAACTGGCCTAAAAAG